TAATTATATTTATTTGAGCTGGCCAGCTATGCTTTTCACAGACAAGCATACAACCTGCACAGTAGCTCTGGTGTCCAGCAGATAGAGATGTCCCAAGACATTCCTGGAGTTACAATTAAGGCAAGGTGATTTTTACTGGAAGAGATCAGCTATTCCAATTGAACACAACTTACATTAATAAGGAGTACTCAGGTCTTCACCACACAGTCGCTTAATTATTTTACTTAAGAAAAACATTCTGCTATTCTGGTTCATTACTATGGCTGAGAAAAATTTCAAAGAAAAAACAAGACATGTCTCACAAGGATCTTTATCTCCATTTGCCTAAAAGCAAAGTAGAATTTCTTTTTAAAAGTAGGTAGTTAGCCATATTTACCTTGTTGTTAAGAAGTGCTCTGCAATATTTGCTCAGTTATCAGCCTACAAGGATTACAGTTTAACGCATTCCAGTGGAACACCCCCCTTAGCCCACCACTCCTATAGGAACATTGGCACCCACAAGCAGTGTACACCTAGGCTTGAAATGAAAAGCTAATTTTATTGAAGTAATGGGCGTTGAAGCTTTTCTACAAACAAAGTTAGGAGACAGGAAACAGCTTAACTATCCCATAAAATGAAAATTAACTCCATAAAAATGAAAATTCATCAACAAAACAAAGGCAGCATGCCAACAAACACAGATCACAAGAATCCATTTTCTCTTCTCTGCTATGCTTTATTCTGGAAAATGAGGTGTGAAAGAAAGTTCTTGGAAATTCCAGTTCTGACAAGCTTCAGATAAGACATTATCTGTTCACAAGTTGATGCTAATTGCTCTAGGATATCCTATAAGCTTACTACTATAATTTAGACCATAATATTCTAGTTTTTATGTAAGTTGCTGAGGATGGACTAGAATTAAGTTACTTCTACCCTTTGGACAAGAGGAACAATGAGATAAGAGAAGGGAATGCTTGTCTACACAGACTTTCTCCACTTGCTATGTATTCAAAGTCAGTGGCTCCAGAAGCTCAGAAAAACCTTAAATTCACTCTCCTATACAAAGTCTTCAGGTTGGAGAAGGCCAGGAGAGAGATGGTAAAGGAGATTTTATAGAACAGCTTAAAACGTTCAACAAAATATTTTCTGTAAGGGAAGCAATGACAGGAGAGGCAGGCACTTTGGGGCTCCTATCTGCATGGTGTCAGACCTCTTCAAAGCATCATTGGCTAAGAGAGCTTCATTTGGTAAGTTTTCACACCCATGAAGCACCTGAAGCATTTTAGGAGTTTCTTTATCTAACTTGAGTCATACCAACACTCAGTTCCCAGTTCTGGAGTGTAAAAGTAAGCAAGCTTCAGAAGTCATCATACGTGATATTTCATAGTCTTCTCAGTCTTTTAAATTACAAGCCTTTTTCAAAGGCTTATAAATAATACACATCTAAGGTAACAAAAGCTATAGCAGACCATTTACACATTACTTGAACATGCTTTTCTTCAGTAGCAGCTGTAAAGAAAGTGTAAGGCTTATTGGCCCCATGGGAAAAAAAAAAAAGTGCTTCCTTCTAAAACAAGTCGCAGTATGTTTGTGTCATGCTTTCTGAAGCACTCAAAATCCATAAGAATTTCCTGTCCTCCAAATCTCTGGATTTAAACCAATTGCAGGTGATTAGAAGGCCTACAAAAATGCCTGTTGAGATGTAATTATAGTCTGCACCTGGAAACTGGATAGCTGTTTTAAAGCAGCATTCAGCATAAGACTGCATTTTAAAAACATCAATACAGTTAGTTAATAATTTCTCCCATTCCTCCAAAATAACACATTTTGAAATAAATGAAAACTTTCATACGTATAGAATCACTCAGGTTGGAAAAGACCTTAAAGATCATTGAGTCCAATCACGACCGAACTACACTATCCTAACTCTAACAACCCTCCACTAAATTGTGTCCCTGGACACCACATGCAAATGGTTTTTAAACACATCCATAGATGGTGACTCAACCACATCCTTGGGAAGCCTATTCCAGTGCTTAACCTTTTCTGTAAAGAAGCGTTTCCTGATATCCAACCCAAACTTACCCTGGCACAACTTAAGGCCATTTCCCCTCATTCTGTCACCAGTGAGAAGAGACCAGCCTTGCTCTCACTGTAAGCACCTTTCTGATATTGGAAGAGAGCAATAAGGTCTCTGCTCAGCCTCCTTTGCCCCAGACTGAACAGCCCCAGTTCCTTCAGTCTTTCCTTGTAGGGCATATTTTCAAAGCCCTTCGCAAGCATTGTCACCCTTCTTTAGACCTGCTCTAGCACCTCAATGTCTTTCCTGTACTGAGATTTATGTTTCCATGTATTTCCACGTTACTAATTTCCAGCAAGTTGTGATATAAAAAAAGCCTATTCCTTCGATTTCCAAATACTCGTATTTCATGACCTCTTCTTTTCAGGTAAATTAGAAAATAAATCATCTACTTCCCCTTTTTAACATAAACCCCGATTAAGGATACTAGCAAATAAAACCTTAACATCTTATAATTCCCAGGTCACTTTCAATTGCTGTTTAATACAAGTATGAAGACAGAAATATTAAATATGACTGAAAAATGCAGTCTCTGCCTTTTAATGAATAATCACAAAGGCATGAAAAACAAGATGACATAATCCTGCTGTTGCAACAACTGACTGAAAGTTAGGAGCTCACAAGTTGTAATTTCAGCCAGCAGGGAATTGGTACAGCACCTGCTGAGCACAGATGCTCTCAGGTACTTCACTGACTAAGTCAGCAGCTGCTTTTCCCATAAAATAGAAAATGAATGAAGCAATATTTTTAGAAAAATCTGGCCATTATTTATGATTTTGTTTTCCTTTTTGCAAAGATTAAAAACTAGACAGTTTACAGAATAGGCAACTTTGGATTAATTTGGTTTTGCTTC